AGTCTACCTTTTATGACATCCACTGTTATAAGTGCACTAATTTGCCTGAGTCGATAAAACAGGAAAGGTTTTTTGAAAAAAAACTGTTTTGTGTTTTTAAGGTTCACAAACATTAAAAAAAATTGTTGTTTTTGCTTTTTTGTTTGTTGAAGTGTTCAGTGCAAAGCAGAGATGAGATAGGGGCTAGAGCAAAACAAGTGAACCTTGAACAAGAGGTGTCAAGTAACCTCAAATAGCACCTAACCAACTCAAAAGATTCTGGCACAAACTAATGCCATGTATTCCAATGTTAATGTACAATTCCATGGGCACGACAAGCAGAATGCTGACCAAAATAATGGAACAAGCAAAACAACAACCTTTCTAGCCCTTGTGGTATTGTATTGGACAGAATGGTCTGTTGCATTTTAGCAGTGGAAATGTCTTTTCCTTAGCAAAAAGGTGAAGGTGCAGCCCTGCAATTTCTTACTCATGTCACTGCTGGCGGAACGGCCTCCAATAGCGAGAGTTCTTTATTCCTTAATCTTTCACGTTGACCAAACATATTTGAAGAGGTGTGAGTATCCACATTTTACCCCACTACACGCCACGTAGTTGCCATCTCGCCACCGTGGCGAGTTGTTAACTACCTTGCCTGGAATACAGGAGGTCGCTGCCTCAATCCTGACCACTGACGCTTGTATATTTGGAGTTTGCACGTTCTCCCCGTGGTCGCGTGGATTTTCCTCCAGGTCTTCCGGTTTTTCCCTCCACATTTAGAAACACATTCCTGCGGAGGGAGCTGGTAGGAACGTTGGGTTGCTCGGTCAATGGCCAGGGTCAACGGCGGCGTGATGTATTCCGCAAATATGCCCGACTGTGAGGGCGGGCAAAAGCCGGCGTGAGTAGGTTAAACGTTGAGTTTTATAAGGGCACCACGGGGTGACCAGCCCCTCCCCACCCAGCCCCTCCCCATCCTCCCCACCCAGCCCCTTCCCACCCTCCCAACCCAGCCCCTCCCCACCCTCCCCTCCCCACCCAGCCCCTCCCCACCCTCCTCTCCCCACCCAGCCCCTCCCTGCACGACGGACGGACGGACGGACACAATAATCCCCTGTGGGCTGGTGTAACCAGGAGGTTCCTACCAGTATCATGTGTTTAGAGTATTTGGCTGCTATAAGTTCAATACGTAGTAGGCTTTCGCGTCCAATATCATCCATAATGCAGGTTTTTTTTTTGGGTTAGATCGTGTAAATATAAATGTGTTGTTAAATCCGCCACCACCCGACACAGCCATTTAGTAAGATTTGTCACGTGAACAGAACATGCCAACACACGTGTTGCTGTCCTAGTGTAAAGTAGAGCCGACACGAGGTTGCAGGGGGTCCATCCTTCATTTCTCCCCCCAGTCCACACTCGCCCGCAGCCCTCTCCGTCCATTCTCCGCCAGCAATTTCCCTGTCCCGCTCAGCCCCCCTCCTCTCTCTCCTCTCCCTTCCACTGTTCCCGCTCCACTGCCCCCCTCCTTTTAGCGGGAATCCATACCCCTGACATTCCCTACACGAGTAACGATTTGGCATGTTCTGTATAGGTGACAAACTTTACTAATTGGTTGCGTCGGGTGGTGGTGGGTTTAACGACACATCTATATTTACGCGATATCACCCCCCAAAAAAACTATATTTATGGATGGCTGCTATAAATGTCCACATGATAAGCCACTTCAGTGAACTATCATTTGTGTCCAGGTCGCTTCTGGTAAAACAAAAATAAGTATAACCCGTAAAAACAAAGTTTTTCACTATAAATCCTTAATATGCGTGGCGGCTAGAGTCCTCTCGTCCTCTGGCTTGAGATGGCTGCCACCTATGAGTCAGATGATTGCATTGCACCATTAAGCAATTGGTAATTAAATATAATATTTTTGTCCTAAAAAGTGTAAAATTTTGGAAAAAAATTTTCACGAACATTAATTGTCAAACACAACGAGTCTGTGTGGAAAATGTCAGCTCGATTGGATCACGGGAAGTGGGTTAAAAAACGACCGAAAAAATTGCACGGTCGTAAGCAAGCAAGCTCATTCATCTCCTGAATGAGCTGTCGCATAACGACATGGACCTTGGTGATGCATTTTTATATAGCTCCAGATTTTGTATGTTCACTACCATAGCTTTAAAATATTTGTAAAATAATAAATTATGCACTGCAAAGACGATGATCAATATTTTTGTTGTTCCTTACTGATCTGTTCTAACTATTCTGTTCCTCGACAGGCTCCACTGCAATATGTTCAGACTTCAGTTAATAATGATCATAACTTGAACATGAACACCAATCTTAGAGCACAAGGTTATCACGCAGCTGCTATGTTTCACAGGCAGGTAGAGTCTGCCAATAAGCTGGAAATGTTGCAATGTGGTTTCATCCTATTCAATAATTTGTTAATTTTACTACCTATAATCTCCACAGTGACACTAAAGATTTAGTATAGTGTTACGTGTTGTAAAATGTTGCGGCGAACTACGGCCCATATCTCAAAGAGAGGGTCCTTGCCTATAACATCTGGTCGTTCATCACCGTTGACTCAGGCAGGCCAGACTGCTGTCGAAACCGGTTCAGTGTGTTTATACTGAATCAATGCTGCTGAAATTATGCACGCCCCCCCACACACACAATGCCGTGGGGCCGACGGTTTTTTATGAAAAAATATATATACTTCATTTCTTTTTACGTGGAGTGCAAGAATAGACTTATTCAGAAAAAATAGAATTTGCTACCATCGTAGTTCATTTCGAGAAAGTGAAATATGCTTGCAATCACATTTTTTAAATCATAATCTTTGTTTCATACAAAATGCGCAACACACGTGTTTACATGGCCAATCGGGATTGCAACACTACAATAGATAAACATTTATTTAATACATCTGTTTAGAACAGCCATTTTATTAATGGGGGAGTTGGGGTTTTGAAATAAAAGTGTGTTTTTTAAAGGTTGGTGCACCTCGCCACCTTTGCTTAGGGGGCCTTAGTCCTGTTTATCCTGCTGCCAACGACCTCCGTTTGACGCTCATGCTTTGGGAAACTTCCGATTAAGGGTGGCTGACGGTCGGCCCTTGCCTGATCCCTACGAAATGCAGGACCATTCGGCAAATCACGTCGAGCAGCTGTTTGTACATTAACTTGTTTCTTGGCTGGATGCCAGTGGCGTATTTTCCGACCCTTCCCATTTAAACTGTAGGCTGCCATTTGTTTAACCCTAAAAACGCGTCACATGAAGTGGTGTGATGAGCTTTGTCAGTCTATTTTTAAAAAAAAAATTCGATTAAACTATTTTGGAATTTTAACAGGTAACGCCCACTGAGCTACATAACTCTTTTTCAGAATCGACCTGGCCACAAATGATAGCTCAACGAAGTGGCTTCTCATCACGTGGGAAATTATGGTAGCCAAACACTCGAAACGCGCGTTTTGAAATGTGGAGAGAAAATTCACGCGACCATGGGGAGAACATGCAAACTCCAAATATACAAGGATATAGATCGAACCCACGACCTCCTGTATGCAAGGTGAGGTAGTTAACATCTCGCCACCATGGCGCCCAGCCTACTAATTCAGTACTACTTATTCAGTAGGCTTGGCAATTATTCACGACTGCTGACCCACAAGTGATGTTCCACCCTCGAAGAAACCCAATAGGCACCGAGTAGAACGAAGAGTGGAAAAGTCTGGTCTTACTGACACATTTCTAACGGAGGAGATAACGACATGATTGTCGGGTTATACGAGGTTCTGTGTGTCATCCGGGAGTCTGGTATCAGCCTGGGTGACTGGACATGGGGCCTTGTGGTCCCTATCTGGAAAAGCAAGCATGAAGCATGTCCAGCAGGACAACATCAACTACCGTGGTGGTGTTATTCTGCCCTCAGTCCATGCCAATGTTCTGGCCCGTTTGCTTCTGGCGAGGTTCCATGATCATCTGCTGTTAACTCGGCGATTTGAACGGTCCAGCTTCATATCCAATAAGTTAGAATGTAATCAGATATTAGCACTTCATGTCCTTTTCGAGTGCCATGGAGGTTTTGGCAGAAGCTGCTCTCAGCCTGTTGATCTGAATAAGGCATTCAATGTGATGCATCGGTGGACACTTTGGCAAGGGGATCCTGTGACTTTGATTAAATTCAGGCACTAAGAGTGTTGTGAAGTGCGGTGGACACGCTGCTGGGGTGAGGCAAGAGTGTGTGCTTGCCCCTACACTTTTCAATACAGTATTATTACAAACATATACGGTGATATGCGGGGAGTGTCTTGCGGACCCTGTAATCCACAGCACCGTGAATTTACGCCCAAAATCCACGTAAAAAAATCTCGAATATTTGGAGTTTTGAGTTATACGACTCCAATAATCCATGAGAAATTCAAAGATTATGGGAGTAGCGGAAAATGTATCGAACGACTCCAATAACCCACGGAAAAATGTGGATTACGAGTTTCGCCATTTTATGGGGAAACCCAAATCCGCGATTAAATGAATCGCGCAACCGAATCCTCCCATCGTCCGTGGCACATCTCACCGGAGCGAAATTTTCATTTCGGATTACAGGAGGCCACGGTGCGCCACGGATTATAGGATTTGTGAAACATAACAATAGGTTTTACCCCTTCTGGCAATAAAACAGGTGTCAAGATGCCTAAACAGCAAATACATACCTCTTGCAAGGAATCAAGTCTGCATTAACCACACGTACTTGTGGCAAAACATGCAAACAAACATGCTCTGATAAATTATATATACATTGTCTTTGAAACGTATTGATCGACCCCAGAGACAGCCTTCTTCATGGCCTAGTCTCACCAGTCAGGCCAGAGAACGCCAAATACAGGATCCGTGAGTGGGACCCCCGTTTCACTGCAGATTGTTGGGTTTCTGCTGCACTACTGTAGTGTCAATTTGCGTTATAGAGCACGTATAGTAGTAAAAAGTCACCCCACACGTATGGGAACAAAACACTCAACATCTGATTGATACTTTATAGTTTATTTTAGAAACATTTAAAACCAAAAAAGTACAAGCGTTGAATGCATTGTAAGGCCAGCCCTAAAATCCACCCAAGTGTGAAAAGTGATTGAACAAGATTTACAACATTACTGAATATGCATTGCCATGTCATTAATTGAGGTAAATTAATGAAGAAGACTTCACGGGGTAATGCATGTGGGAAAACATCGTAATGTGTACTTATATCAAAAATACAGATATTCCCAGCAGGCACGCATTTCATAACTTGACATTGGCCACATCATCAGTCGGAAGGAAAACTTTAAAATAGTTTTTAATTTAGTGTTTTAGTGTGCGGATAAAATGTTCGCAATTTCTCCGTAAAAAAATCTAAACAATCGTTTTTTCCTCCGTGATGTAATTCATGTATTTAATCATTATGTAATTAAGGGTAAAACAATACACTATAAATTATCATTTTGTTAGGGTTCTCGCTTAGATACCACCTAGCTTTAAACATTCTCCCTTGCATGGCCATACCTAACCTCCTTTAAACTGTATTATTTGCTTGTGACCGCCTTATATTAAATAGGCTTTTCTTCGCCAGATAGGGAAATTCAAAACCCACATGAATTGTCTGCTTGACGCTACAGGATGATTGTTTTCGTACGATAAAAGGCATATACATGTGTGTTACGGTCGAGTTGCGTAAGCGAAAGGAGAGAGAATATTGTTGACAGTTTTATCAACTTCACAAATGGGACACAGATTTAAAACGTAAACCTCCACACAATACATTCCTGAATAAGAAAATAAACAAGAGAAAAAATATATATTTCCTGTTAACACCCTCCACACCCCCCCCCCCACCCCCACAATCCACAGATTTGAATGATAAAATACGAATTACATATTTTTAAAAAGCCATTTTTCAAAAAAACTCAAATGAGGATCTATTGCATATATTGCAGTTATTGTGCATTAAAATAAATGTACATCATCATTTTAAATCAGTGATACTGACATTGTAAAAATTGTTATTTTGTACTCCAATGACCATTTAACTTTAACAGTATAATGCATGTGAAAAACAATTATTCTGGCTGTACATTCAACAGTGCACAACACGAAGGACATACTTCCAGACCTTCCTTCTGTCACACTTTTGACTCTTGCAGTGTGAACATACTAACAGTTTCTGCATTGCGATTGGCCCAGAATATTTGTAACTCACGTGATTTGACGTCAATCCGAACAGAATCATGGTGTTTGTTCATAAAATAAGCAGATGCGCAAACTTACAATAGGCGCTATGACCACCACCTACATTATTGTACTTGTTAAAAACGTGACCATTTTCATTTTATTCGCCAAAATGGTATCTGATGGTTTGTTACTGTCAAATTAAGCTAGTATCTACCATTGCTAAAGCTACAAGTGCAATGAAATAATAGTAATAATCATTACATCTCAAGCAATGCACTCCAGTAACCTCTCACTGGAGCATTAACAGATTTACAGAATGTTTGCCATTTGATGAAAAAGTAAAGTTTGTTAAAAGTGACTTAAAATTAGTGACATTGCAGATTCAGCCTTTTGATAAACGTTCTGAGCACACAGTCCTGGAATAAAACAAGTCAATGTTGGTGATTAACTGATCGATGTGATGTTTTGCCAATCCACCTCTTGCCATGACTAGTTCTTGATAGAAGTTGTTTAGTTGTCCTCAGCAGCGGCTTTGACCTCCTGTTGACAAAATAAAACATCCAACATGAAAGCATTCAATATTTAAAGTATTACAAAAGCCCCGACAACAAAACACAAAATAACACAGGACACAATTGCACAAAAATGCAAGCGCTGCCATGAGTTAAATGCCTCGTTGGCAATGCATTCGTGCAAATATGAACCTTTGTATCATTGGCATCACATAGCTTGTAAACAAACGATAAAACATCCAAAAGTACATAATGTACAGCCAACCACCTTAAATTATTAATCTTCACAGACAATAAATGTTTAGTAATAGTCTTGCACAACTGCCTGTATGCATTTCAATCTTTACACATCATGAATAACATTTGCATTGTCATGAACCTCGCTTGCAGGAAATACTCTAGATACATTTGCATGCACTTTGCTGTCCAACATAATTTTGCTGTATTGAAGAAAAGTGTGTAAACCTGTTTAAATGTCACCGTTTTTCATCCAGGACAGTGATGAGATATTTTACATTGTTTGGCAATCTACGCAAAATTGTTTTTACCTCAGTCCAACATTGTTATAAATAACATGCATCCTGAACCGAAAAGGCACAATATCTGAAAACACAATGGATAGGTAATGTGGGAATGGTAATATGCCAGTGGTTTTGGGTATAGAGTTTACATTACAATTTGAATGAAATTGTAAAAATGTTTTAAAAAACTGTAAAAAAGATTTCTAATTCTTGAATAAAAGAAAAAAAAGGTGCAGCCATGAATTGTATTGCTCATGCCACCGTTGGCAGAAGGGCATTCACTAAAGGGAGCCCTTGAGTGCTCCCCTGGGTTGCAGTTGGGCTATTCTTCCATGCTGGCCTTGCGCCTTGGAAGACGTAGGAATATCCACACTTTACACCATCTGCCGATCAACTAACTGTGGTGTACCCATTTATATTGGTGTTGAGGGCCCAGTCTGTCATCCCAGTAGTATAAATTAGTACACCACAGGGGAAATTAATAAACTTGGCCCTATGTTTCAAATTGCACGCAGGGGCAATAGGTCTGATAAATGGCACGTGCAATTTAAATAATGTGGGATGCTTTCATCAATACGTGAAGTTCGTTCACAATGTGCGGCCAAAACACTTACGAAGGGTGTGCGTTCGCCGTATTTGCTGTAGAAGGTCATTTGGACCTCGTTCTTGTGGCCTGTGCGCTCATCGAAGCAATGACAGCTGCTGAAGGGAGGGCTGTAGAGGTGCAGACTGATAGCCGTCTCCGAGTGGCTCACATTTTCCACTCGGTGCAGTCCAATGCTGTCTGCAAGTCACGCAACCGCACGTGAGAGAGTTTACATGTTAAAATTCAATGTACTACTCCAACAGCCTCAAGGCGAGTGCATGCAATGTAGAATTTAAAAAAAGTCCAGACTATATTGATTTTAAATGTGTGCATATATGTTTATATATATGTCAGCCTTAAACAAAGATGGTGCAGGTCAAACATATAATATAATTGATGCCTGTAGTATCAATAATATATAAGCTCTTCCATGGTATTCATGGTGTTTGTGGTTAGTTTGTTGTCATGCCCTGCACCTCAGATTAGCATAGTCGTCTACGTACAGAGCAAAAAAAGGTCAACATACAAATGATACAATTGTTGCAAAAATGTAGTCATGTAGGGAAGTCCTGGCCACATGAACAGTAGTGTGCCTGGATTAATACGCAGAAACCTAGAATTATCTGCCTAAGCATATATTAATACTACTCGGTGCCTTTCTAATAATTTGTCACGGTGTGTGTGTGTGTGCAATGTACCATTGATGTATGTGACTTGATCCTCAGAGTACAGATTCTCAGCCTTCTTGATCAGCTCCTGTTTCTTGGTGCTGGGTGTCGGCCACTCGTACATCGTCTCCTTCAGCTGACCCTGCATGATCTTCACGAAGCAGTGGGCGTCCATGTGGTCATGGATGGAGCTGAGCACAAGGGATGTGTTTTTGTTAGTTTCAAAACGAATGATAAAATATAAACAGGTCAAGCAAACAAGTACAAATTTCACACATTCATACAGATCAATGTTAGCCCGGCATGAAATTACATGAGAGTATCATTATTATGGTCGCTTATCCAGGGAAGTCTCACGAAGTTATCGGTTGCTTTGTGGATTCCAATAGAATAATTTATAATTTTTCGAATTTGGCAAATTTGAATAATGACGCCGGCACACAATGGCCTGCTCTTGCGAATAACATCATGAGATCTTTAGCGTCCACTGTTGAACTACACGTACAGACATCATACAAGCTGTAAATTAAACAGAATTCAACTTATATTTGAGAAAAACAGTAAAATATTGCGGTGACATGTGATTTGAATGCCAGTAATAACAGACAAATTTAGCGTTCTACTACCAAATAAAACTGTGACCAAGTATTGTTACACTATTGCATAACTTATAACAATTACGAAGCCAAAAAATTCGAGTCTGCAGAACATAATGAAGATTGATGTATGTTGCAAACCATAAAACAATCAGTAAATATGACCCTGATGATCAATTCAATGTTATATAGCAAAGAATACTGCCTATGCTATTTTTCAAAATTGTCACAATCGACCATATCCACTTTTTTATATTCATTAAAATTAAGGAGATATTGCCTGCTTTTTTTTCAACAGAGAAAATGTTGCATTTGCACAATAGGTGCTTGTGGATTACATTCTCCCAAAGTTATGCCTTGTTCATTGCTTTGCGAAAAATAAATTTTGCACAATGGGTATCTTTTTTGTTTTTATGGAAATAATAACAAGCTGTGCAACATCTTTGACCTACTCACTGTTGCTGTGCAAACTCCATTAACTGCACTGCAAATGATTTGTACTTGATGTTGCAAATCGAATGTTCGCTTTGGTATTATTTATTTATTTGCTTAACCCGTGCCATATGTTGGTGGGAGATTCAGCACAGTGGTTTGCGGCGCACAATGCCATGAACGTCAGTAACCTGAGTTTAATTCCCTACCACGGCTCACATCGGTGCTACATGAACTGGTCCCCCCCCCCCCCCGCCTTCACCAAGCCACAATAACAAGAGTGGTGAAGTTTTGTCAAACAATCCTCATGACCGGCGCGACATACCCAAGTAAGCATTACGAACGTTGGACAAACGTTGGTTGACGTTGGGACCAATGTTAATCAATGTTGGTCCCAACGTTGCATGTTTACTGGGTAGGGGGACTTCATTTGGAAGTGGATTGACACATCAGTTGTAAATGATTATATTTTACCATAGCCATGGTGTCTACCATTTGTTAAATGATGGTTAAGGATTTACTGGTGTTAATGTTATGATAGATAATTATGGCTCCTGCGCAGTATTCGCTTTTCAAAGCAAGGTATTTAAAATTAAAAGTGTACCAGTTTTCAATGTGTAAATACTGTCTTGTTGAAACATATAGGATCCTCACCTGCCATGACCTTCTCCCCAGCAGAGCAGCATGAGATTGAACTTTCCATTGCCTTCATCAACCAGGTTCCTCGTATACCTACAGCAGACAACAGGGAGACTTGTAAATAAGGTGGGACTTACAGTGCCACGGAGACAATATAAAAACAAGCATTTCATTAAACATTGCAAAGGACATAAGTAAACATATGCACATGCTCTTGATCAGTGGTTCTTAACCTGGGGTGCAAGCACACCCTGGGAGTGCGAGAAGCCCTTTCTGGGGGTGCGAGACGTGGCCAGATATATTTTAGAAGTTAAATAATCAAAAAGAAACATTAAACACGGGCACTTAAGTACATGTATCTATTAACATTAACATTTGCTTAATGATTGAGAACCAAACGGGTCCAGGCTGCAGTAAAGGCTAAGAACCACTGCTCTATATATTTGAAACGTTTTGTTTACGCCCCTGTGCGGTGACCTAAACAAAACAAGCTACCGCTAGGCCATGTCACCGGCTGTTTGTTGCAGAGGTTCGCGGTTCGAATCCAGCAGGCCATCCTGATTAATACTCTGGGCATATTAACCGTAAAAAAAAAAAATGCCATCTGGCTTCACTGTGGACGTTAAGATCCCACTATGGAGTTAGGTCATCGTGCGCTGGCATCATTGTCAAACTTTGAACAATTATTTTTATTTTATCATAATTTATTAAATGTTATATTGTCCCTTAAGTATAAACACTGTGTATACCGTATACACTAGTTCAAATTATCTCATTAATTTTACAAAGACAATTGTAATTATCTCACTTCGATCAACAACCCCATAATTGCAAATAATTACATTTGGCAGGAGTTACAAGTTAGAGAAAGGGTCGTCATTCTGGCATTTTTCCACATCCCCAACACAATCATGAAAACTCCACTTACTACCATGATCTTATTTTTTAAAGATCCAACAGCACATTTTACTCAGCGGAGTTATTGGCACAAGCACTTTATGGCTGCGTGTTTATTACGAAAGGCACTATACCATGGCAAACAGCACACGGTACCAGTTTGGTGAAAGTGCAGTTGGCTAGAGCGGGAGAGTTCATTTATATTCCAGTCCTTTCTTTTGCGTGGAGGGGGGTAGTGTGTGCAGGCAACCGTGCTCAAAGCACACAACAATGCTCGGCTTCGGGTTATTTATTTGTCCAATGCAGATTTGCATTATAATCAATATTAGGCAGTGTGTGATAACTGCTTTGTATGCTTTCCGATGCGTTATACGATATTCACTTACATATCTCATGTAAGATACAATGTATGTAAACATGGTGGAATAACAACGCCTTGCAACTTTCGTTCGTAAATGGCCCACAAGAGGTTGCAATTACACCCGCAATTAGCATCAAAGTCACAATCCCATTGCATGTTTTACCTCTTGCATAATACAAGCATACTTAAAAGGTGTGAAGTACATCACAGTATACGCATTGTTTTTTCTTGTTTGATCTTTAAAATAGATTTTACTTTACTCCAATCCTACCCAACACTACCCATGCTGCAAGCACCCTACAAATCCTAAATCCAATTGCTTGCTAGGGGCGGCGGTGTGTGTGTGCCTCCATCCAGCAATGAATTGATCATACCTGATGATAATGATGATGGTGATATTGATAAGGGTGAGTGGTGGTGGTGGTGGTGGATTGGTGCGGGCCTGTGAGTGTGTGTAATGTGTGCTGCTTGGGTCTCTGCATCCAGTGTAGGTGCGAGATCATTCTTACCGAAACTTGTCAAACTTGGCGAAGCGCTCCCAGTCGGTCGCATCGTGCGGGTATGAGGCCATCACAGCCTTCACCTCGTCCACGTCCACCTTGTCCCCCGAGAAGAGCTCGTTCAGCACCGCGATCAGCTCGTCCAGGGAACTCGGCTTGCCCTTCACGATGCTGCTGCTGCTACTCTCCATCTCTAAATTTCTGCAATGCTAGCCGGCGTTCTACTTTTATGTGGATATGTGGATGTTATAGCCAAAAGCTATCGGGAGGAGTCAAAGTATTTGACAAAGGATGCGCAAAACCCAACACTTACCACACCCGGCTGTGATATGTATCTAAGCTCCTGGATCTCTTCCCTCTCAATCTGTTTGAATCATTCGCCGGTTGCAATTGATTCGTTCTGGAGTGGACTCTTCCTGCTCTGCCTTGCACACCCCTAATCGCTATCGTCTCGTTCTTCTCCCCTACTTCTCTCCAACCACTGACGCCGATTCTCTCTCTCTCTCGAGCCAGCTAGTGGTGAGCACTGCTGTCCCTGTGGCTCCCGCTGGCTTTTTAAAGGCGCTGACAGCCACAGAGACGTGGCATTGACGTCATGGATATGCCTCTAGGCAGCAGCCGCTGATGTTGTCCTACTAAACGTGGGGGGAGGGTGGGCGGACTTTTTGTTGTTGTTGTTGTTGTGTTCACACATAGCAATGCCACAACCACAACGAGCCAACACCACCACCACCACCACCACCCCCGCACTGCATGCTAAGCAGCTCAGCGCAATTTAAATCGTGATCGTTTTAAGTTGTGCATCAATGAGGCATTGTTCACGGAGAGGAAATCGTCTGCGAGAGGAGTTGTTCGGATAGCGGTGGAATGCGATTGCCAGGAGCACCCTGTATCGTAATGTGTTCGGCATTCATTCAAGCCCAAGTTGAAAGCAAAATAAAAGCGGATGAAATTATTCACTCGATGAAAATTGTACTAGAACCGGGGATCATCTTTATTAGTTATGTGGCCATAGGAAAAATGAAGTTAAGTGTGCACTGTAACAGCATGCAGCCAACATTACAAAGCCTAGATTATTATGTTTTATTTTTATTATTTTATTACTTCCCTTCTACGTGACTTTACCGAAAGAACCAAGAAGATTACAAAGCCTCTCCATCACCGGCGGCTGACAGGAATAGGCTCACCAAGAGGGAATTCAGGATGGATGAGGCATGGACTCGGTCGGTTTCGTTTCCCCAATCTTTTTCGTCTCGTTTTGTTCGGTTCCTTTTCATTGTTTCTGGTTCCATCTCTTCGCCCAAGTTTTGTGCACGTAATCAGCTGCTGCTACGAGTTATTAAAAAAAATCATGAATAAGTTTAAGAACGCGAATAAAATAAATATCCTCACAACCATTGTTTTTTTTTAAGAACTCAGTGATGCTGAGAAGTTTCCCAAAGCCACAGCAGGCGACGTTCAGGATTCGAAGATTGAGATTTAGTTTAAATGCCCAACGATCCAACATCCAAGCTTTGAGCAACGAATTTGTCGATTCTAAAAGCTGCCCTCAAGCCACACTAAACGACGAGGGGTTTAAGGTTTGACGCCTAAGGCGATAAATTGTTTTGTCAGAAGCAACATTACTCGCATTGTGATTAACACGGGAGGGAGAGAACCGGTTTAAGCCTGTTCTTTTGGCAAACGGTTAACCGGAACGAAACCTTCCGGGACCAGAGTAGCAAATGGGCACAATCATTTTTCTTCTGGAGTTAAAAAAAATAAGTACACGTACTTATAAGCAATGCATATTGTACTACATGTGCAGCGTAGTTGTCAAGCCACTGCTGGATGAACGCCCGCCCATGCCATGTGGGTCGTGGGGGTTATTTGATCATCCTCAACCAGTGCGGGTTCGTCATCTTGTACCTGAATGTGGGATTAATATATAGCATTAGGGGAGCGGTGGTGTAGGGGTTAGCGCGCTGCGCTACGAGACCGGCCACCCGAGTTCAGTTCCCGCTCAGGGCCACCAATACCCAGTGACGATTTTATCCGAACCGGTACTGGGCCTCCCCTAGGTCGACTCAGCCTCAAACGAGCATCTGGTGCGGTGTGGAAACATCGCCGATTTGGAAATAAAGGCGGCCGGGCGTGGCGATGACCCATCCACTTCCTCGTGTGTTGTGCCGATTTTTATAGGTGCTCACGAACAGTCCCAAAGAGTTCGTTAATACTATACGGGTGGACCTTTGTCTTAATATTCATTGAATTTTAGAAAGTCCTCTTCAAGAATAATACGGACAATATTGTGTTGATATTTCGATGGTAATACAATTCCTGATATGGCGGTGCGGTATGGTAAAGAGATAACGTATATTTAAAGATGTGTGCGTGCGTTATCTCTTAAGTGTGGCTTTTGTCCCGGTGTTCCTGTTGCCTCCAACACGCCGAAAGTTTCTGCCCCTCCGGCAAAAATCGTGTCGAGGTTGAGTGATCAGGTGGTCCCCGATTAAGGTATTTTGGATATTAACAGTACAATTTTAATACCGAGGGGGCGAACAATTTGATTGTTGGTTTCGGTTCCGGTTATCCAAACCCGTAGACATTTTAAAGCTGGAAAATAAAACCTGATAAGCTATTACCGGCTTCATCACAGATGTCCAGCCCAAAGTGGTTGGCCGTGGCAGAAAACTACAGAGGACCGTTACATCGGTGCGTACATTAAACAATTGTTGCAATCATTCATAAACTAGAATAAAACAACTAAATAATATTTGTAAAAAAATAGTACAACAGCAGTAGTAATATATTATACAAAGGATACATTTACACTCGCACATTTACAAATGTCAATCATAATTACACATCGAAATTGCAAGTCGGTTTCAGAAAGGAATTGAACCGGTTACAATTCAATCGGTTTTGGAACGTTCAGTTTCGGTTCAACGCTTTCTGAAAACAGAGAGAAATTGGTTCCGCAAAACACGTGGTTTTGCAATACACATTGTAACCAAACAACACCCCCCGTGTAGGCTATAATGCAGACTACACGGGAGGTCTTTCTTATAACCGACAATAGACTTTCTGTGTCGCCTGCACGGGAGGTGGAGGCGCTTTGGTATTTTGTAGACATTTTTCAACCTTGTGAATGTGCAATGCTAAGTGCAAATAAATGTGGAAGTAGGTTTGTAAACAAATGGAGATAAAGAGAATGACTAAGACAAGCAGAGCTGCAAGAAATAGAGAAACACAGAAAAGTGAAGATTGCAGATAAACAAGCGGATATGTAACGGGATAATGAAGCACTGTTGGTCGCGTACATTGCGAAAGAAAAGCAATATACATTACATACAAGCGCTTTCAATAAATGCTGTGGAATGTTTACTGCATTATATTATGTTTGCTGTCATTTCCCTGCAACTGTTAAGGTCGCCAACAAAATCTTTGCACTCACACCTGTTGCTGAACACACCATCCCTGCGTTGACATCTGTCCATTGGTTACCGGTCAAGTTTCGAAAATAGTTCAGGATACTTCTCCTTCTTACCCACAAGGCTCTCAATGATGCTGCTCCCCCATACATTCAAGACCTCTTTCGCCCATATGTTCCAACAAGGGTACTTCGCTCTTCCGAGTCTGGCCAGGTGTGTGTGTCGAGGTCGCGTCTCTGCACGATGATGATGATGATGGGTGACCGGGCCTTTGACTCTTTGCGTTCCCCGGGCTGTGGAATTTATTTTTATTAATTTTTATTTCATTGTTTTACCTACGTGACTTTACCGAAAGAACTAAGAGTATGTGGAATTCACTTCGACTGGCGACTTTCGTTCTGCTGACTCCCCCCCCACCGCTTCATTCAAATCGCGTCTTAAGACGCAACTTATTTTTCAGGGCTTTATTCTATTCCTTGGAATCATTTGTTTTGGGGTTGGATTTCATTGGTGTGAGCCTTGCGTGTGTTTTGTACAGGGCCTTGTGATCTTCTGGTGAAAGACACTTTATAAGTGTATATTATAATGGGATGTAAAAAAAATTGGCAAAATCCACCAAAATCGTCATTTGTTCCAGTGGGAGATTGGTTATGTGCCTCGCACCTGGGCATGGCTCACCACGTCATGCCAGGCTACACAGTAGAGCTTTCCAGGCACAATCGGAGCAGTGGATGTGCTTCTGGACACAGCCTCATTGTCCCTCTGATTCCCCACTGCTCCCTCCTCCCCCCTAGGAGCAGGGCAGGGGCCGTTCTTGGCGGTCCTTATCCCCCTGCGGTGGAGCCTCAGGTCCCCTTTACCGTGGTAAAGATTGTGGCAACATCCCGGGGTCGACCCCCGCCCCTCTTAAAGGAGTCCGAGGGGGTGAGGCAGAGGTCGCAAACGGGTTTTGATTCCTTACCCGTACCCGTACCCGTCCGCACCAGGGTCGCAAACGGGTACCCGTACCCGATACCCGTCTACCCGTACCCGGCCGGGTATTGGGTAGGCAGAGGCGTAGCTAGGGGGGGGGGGGCAGGGGGGTACATATGTCCCCGGGCGCCAAAATGAGGCTTACAACGTGACATTATAACTTATTGCGGCGGGCGCGGCAGCCTGAAACTACTGCACAAATCTACACCTCAACCTAAAAGTTATATATCCCGCCACACACAGCCGACATGTCATGTAATTACATTTTGGTACGCGCGCCTATTAAGAACTTACATGGAAGAACGTCCCAAACAACAGACAGGCGCAGTCTTTCAGCCTTAGTCAGTGGCATGTGTCTTTTGGTGGCGGAAACTACGACATGATGATGAACTTGTTGACAGTAACGGGGAAGATGAGATAGAAGAATCTTCTGATAGAGTAGCTGAAAATACTCATTATGATGCTGTTCCTGCTGTACTAAGGTTTCACGATGTTGGCTACTTAGAATATGATAAAACGACAAAGCTATCGAAAATATCACAGCCTTTTCGCAATGAAATGGTTACTCTCGGATCCTTGCCTTTTCAACACAGAGACAATCTATCATCAGTATCCAGAGAACATTCAATTACATCAGCATGGTATATACGCCGACTAGCGAATGGAGAGGAAGTGGATCGTTCGTGGCTATTCTATTCACCAATCAATAAAGCTGCTTACTGTTTCTGTTGTCTATTATTTACATCATCGAGTTCAAACTCACGAGCTTCGTTTGAGTTAACAAACGGTTTCAACAAGTGGAGAAAGCCAGAAAAACTAAATTCTCATGAAAACAATCCTAGCCACCGCACAGTATATATTTGTTTTTCTCTCGATCAACAATTCGTTGCGAAGAGTTAAAAAAGCTGTGCCCATCACAGTAAAGCGGGAGTCTGAAACACGCTGGAGTGCACGAACAGAAGCTGTTAAAGCTATCTATGAAGGACTGGATGAACTAGTAGGGCTGCTAGACAAATTATCGGAGGACGTAACTATGACGCCTGAAACCAGAAGTGATGCAGAACTGTTACAGGCATGCGTATTAAATTTTAACTTTATAGTTTTATTACATTTCTGGAATGTCATTCTTGGAAAAATGTATTGTGTTCAGAAGCACTT